TTGCGTGTGTTCCAAATATAAAATTTCGTTTTAGTAAATACATGTATCTGAATTATATAAGATAGTTTTATTTATCAACTGGTTATTTTTGATAAGAAAGGCAAATCATTCTTTTTAGATATCAGTTTATTGTATTATTCCCTTTATGTAGATATGAGAAAAACTTAAAACTATCTCAAAAGAAAAGAAACAAAAGGAAACATAAAACAACAAAAGTTTAACTGGTCTGAACTTTTTATCTGAACAAAATACACGTAACAATTTTAAATTTCTTTGCAGGTATCGGATGAACTTAACCTAAAACACACAAAAAAAAGTATTCAGAATGTCATACTATTGCAGTTGCCACATCATAACCTAAAGAAATAAATTTATCAAAACAAACGCAATAACTCATTTAAAAGTCACATGGTGATATTCCGGCTTTACTAGTGATGGAAGATCTCAGGTGCCCCAAAGTGCATTTTCCAGGCACTAGCAAGCACCTGTATAAGAGAGATCCCAGATGCCCCCCTAAGTGCAATTTTTCCTGGCACGAGAGGGCACCTGTATAAGAGAGATCCCGGTTGTCCCTCCGTGCATTTTTCCAGGCACGAGCGGGCGCCTGTAGTGGGGCGGGAAATAAGGTCTCTGCTGTCAAAATAGTGCAAATTGTGATACAAGCATGAAACTTTCAGGAAATCATCTTTAGACCATGTAGATTTCAAAAAGTGAAGTGGGCCCAAAAAATATCTCTGCTCATTCAAGATGGCCGCCATTTTCAAGATGGCCGCCATATTAAATTTGATGTACATAATAGCTCATTCATTCCAATTTTTTGTACAGACCTGAAACTTACACCAAAGCATGCAATATAGTTTCCCCTTTCAAAAATTTAAAAATCTTTAAGCAATTTCTCTTGCATTTTTCTTCAGAATCCAAGATGGCGTCCAATATGGCTGCCAATTTTAATGAAAACTGATATATCTCTTTTTGCAGTATAATTTTTTGCACACGGTATGCGTATTTCCATATAAAATTGTGAAATATATTAGAAAAAAAATCAAATTTTAGGTTAACCACATTGTAAGTCATGTTTTTAGTTTTTTTTTTGTAGGCAAAAAAAATCTTTAAAAAATCAAAAGAAAAAGTGCCATTTTTTTTCATTTTTCTCTAACATGGTTTTCTAGGTCTATGTACAAAATTTCAAAAAGTTACATAGTTTCTAAAAGTGTATTTGATATTGCAATCAACACTGATGTTTTTATTGTATAGTAGTTGTAACACAAAAACAAACAAAAATGTGAAGGTTTTTATACTTATTAAAAGTGGGTGGGGTAAATTTATGCAGACAATTTGTAGTACAAAAAATAAGGGTATTTTAAGAATTCTTAGCATAATATTCACGTGTATAAAGTATTTTATTGGTATTAAGGTTTTTTGTTTTGCCTTCAGGTCTAGAAGGGTGTACTAAAATATCATTTAAATGGCAGATACAATCATATGTATACATTCAGTTTTTTAAATGTGTTTTGCATGATATAGAGTGTTGTTTCAATATTCTTAAATACATTTGATCGAATTGTACAGAAAGAATCTTTCATCAACGAACCATACTGTTAGATAAAATCATTGCCTGGACCTGGGTAGTGAAATGGCTTGTCTATTGTATGAATACAATTATTTCCTGCAGCAATTTTAGTCCTTGCGTAAAAGCTTGTAAACAGAAATGAATTCAAAGTTCATGATTTACTTTGCACATCATTTGTAACGCAAGTTATAATTGAATTTAGTACCGTCCATTTTCTAATAACTTATGTAGACATCGATATTTTCAAAAGAAACAAATACGACTGATAACATCATTTACATATCTAATGACTAGGGTGTGCTTAAAATAGGTATCAATAAAACCGGCTTGAACCCACATTGTACAAACATAGCTTATATTTGGAATATAACTAAATGTATTCTACTTTATTTTTCCCATTAAACAAGAAGCATTGTTGACCCTTAGATCACGCGCGCCTAAGACCCACATGCTGTGAAAAGGTATATAATTCTTTTATACTAAAGAAATGCTAAAATCATATAATGGTAAGTATCTTTTTTTCACCAGTTCATGATTTTATAAACTATTTGAAAAGAATGCATGTCCAATAACTAGGCTCTCAGAACTACAAAAAGACTCATATAACTATATTGCCAATAAAAAAGTCCATGTAAACTAAAGTGATTTTGACGCCTATGCGCAATAGTTTATAATCTTTATATAGCATCACAATGTTAATGATATATTTTCTCTTCTCTGTGCACATAGTTTCTGGAAAAGAAATTTTAAATATATGAGTCAATGTAAACTAAGTTGACAGAGAAAGCCATTTTGGACGACTACAGGAACATGATTTAAAGGCCCGCACGAGGAACACAGTTTTTTAAAGACTTGTGAAGGGAATCGCATTGAAGTTGTTTTGTTGTTGTTAAAAAAAAAATCAAAAACAAACAAAAACTTGTAATCCTAGAGCTTAGATAGTCAAAATATTACCTTGCCAAGTAAAAGAACACCTCTTTAAAAAGTTACATAAAAACAATTTTGGATCATAAAGTGTACATGCAATAGAAAAAAATCTTCTCAAAAATCAAAATGCATAGAGCACAGGTACTAAGCTGGCATGTAGCACACACTTGGGTTCTTTATTAACACATTTAATGAATCAAAGCTCATAGAGCCACCCCTCGCGGGGGGGGGTTTTTCACCCTTTTTTTTTGTATAGGAAAACACATTAAAAACATCTAGTGTTAAACTACATTGACTTGAAATAAGATATTTGGGATGTAGACCTGATATAACAACATGCATAAATTTGTATGATGCTACTGCAGTCTAAAATGGTTTTGGCAATGGTATCACTTAATTTACAATAACTTACTGGTAATAAATCTGTTTTTCTCTTAACCTACAGTATCCGACGCCATTATTATACATTAATCTTGTATCATCATTAAAATTATGTTATAATAATGATATATCATGGACAACATGGTCCAAATTTACCAAACACAAAAGGTCACTAAGTTTATATGGACTCGTATATAGATACGCGTTATAAAAGTCCTCTCGTGTGAAATAAAAATTGAAAGCAGATATTGAGCATGTTTCTTTAAAAGCAACCGGATTCAATTATGACACAAATCATGTGTGTTATGACATAATTGACATAATTGACACTCCCAAAATGATCTTGTTACCGTTTTTTTTGCAACAATGATCTTAGGTGAGTGATTCAGGGTCATCATTACCCTCTTATTGAAAGAAAAAATAAAGATAAATGATGTACTTTAGGAAATACTAGTACACTTAGTTTGTATCTTAACTTTTTTCAAAACGGTTGCATGCAGGCCAGGCCATTTTATCATTGATATATATGTTTCACATCACATACATTTTGTGGTTTTTTAAGCGCATCTTTATATTAATATAAATATAAATTGTGGTGGAGTCAAAAAATATGCGTTTATGTACTACCTTTATACCTAAAATTCAAGTACATGTTTGCTATTTTAAGCACGTTTAGTTGATTATTGTCTTCTTATATGTCTTTACAATTAACAATTCAATATTGATATCAAATATATTGAAACAAGAGAAGTTATCATGCAACCAAATTTAATAACTGAAGGTATACACATGTTTGAATGTGCATCTTCTTGCTCACCCACCATAATGGCCCGAAGGAAGACAAAATACTTTCATACCAATAAAAAGTACTTTTTAAGTTGGAACATTTGCATAAGAATTTATGAGAAAAGTAAAAAGACAAAGAAATAGAATGAACTCAGCTATGTAGATTTTCTGTTGTTTTTTCTTTTTACAATTATCATATAAAAATTACCCCACCCACTTTCACAAAATATAAAACCTACAGATTTAATGCTTTTTCTTACATTTTTTACAATAAATCACATGATATTAATAGAATGTCAAATACAGTTTAAGACATTAAAGTAACTTTTTTTAACTTTGTAAATTACTTTAGAAATTCAAATTGAAAAATATGAAAAAAATTGGAATTTTTCTTGATCTTTTTTAAAGATATTTTTAGACAAAACTTAAAATGTTTTACTTTTATTGAGATTAACATATAATTTGATTATCTCATGATATGTTTAAACACTTTTTTTATCATAATAAACATAATTGTGCACCAAAATTATACTATAAAAATGGTATAACAGTTTTTCACAAAAATCGACGGCCCATATTGGATCGCCATCTTGGATTTGGAAGAAGTATGAAGAGAAAATTTTGTGAGATTTAAATTTTTGAAAAGGAAAACTATATGCATGATTTTGGTGTTAGTTAAAGGTCTGTACAAAAAATTGGAATGAATGAGCTAGAATGTATGTCAAATTTATATGGCGGCCATTTTGAAAATGGCGGCCATCTTGAATGAGCAGAGATATTTTTGGGCCCACTTCACTTTTGAAATCTACATGGTCTAAAGATGATTTCCTGAAAGTTTCATGCTTGTATCACAATTTGCACTATTTTCTCAATTTCCCGCCCCACTACTGTTCAAGAGTGATCCCAGGTGTCCCGCTGTGCATTATTGACAACTGGCCAAGCTTTATTTAGTTGATAAAATAAGTCAGTACTAATTTTCATCAGTGTGTGTAAAGTTGTTGCTTTCATCACTCGTTAAAATGAGATTGAGTCTATTCTAAAAGTCTTTATATATACAAATGTAGGTTTAAAAAGAAGAAAACTGCTTTGCTTCAAAGTATTGTTAAATTGTTTAGATACGTACCTTAACCTAGGGAATATCAGTTTCAGTTATGACGTCACCAAGGCTGTTGGTGGCAGCACAATACCAGGAGCCGTCATGAGACGCCGACTTATAGTGATCGACCGCTACTATGGAGACGAGCCCTTTACGTGTGACGTCAGCATCGCCCGGAAGTCCCACTGAGCCTGTCTGTTAAATAGATACAATGTGGCATCACACATGTTACTAGTAATCGCTTCGGCAATAGTTTTGTACAAATCCTGCCTTACTGTGTTTATAAACGAACGGATTTTACTTTCTACATGCGTTTCCCGATAATCAGGGCTTTTGACAGAAAATGGATCATTTTTTATGGTACCAAAAACAAATTCTTTCAAAAGTTCTGAAAATTTTCCAAAATATCTGACACAAGTAATTTAAAGGCACAATATATGCCACAAAGATAAATAAAGCAAATGACAAACTTGCGTTTATAACGTTGAAATAATGGTTTTGGAACATTTTAGATGCTTATTAATTACTTGAAAAGAAGTAGCTTTGAACCTGCATTTATATGTCATAAATGTAGCAAAATGTTAACAAATTAGTATTATGACTTCCATACAAAATACTTAATCACTACAACTGTACAAATTGCCGTAAAGCAACAGATGCAAAATATGGTTCAGATAATTGGCAAACGAGTTACATGTACTTTTTTTGAAAACTATCACAGGACACCAAAAAAACAACAACAAAAAAAAACAACAACAAAACATTAAAGCATTTATGTGGCACAATTTGCCTGACAACAAGAAAAGACTAAGTTCTCTTTCTTGTGTTATCCTAGGTATGATGTTTTTGACATGGTTTCATTTCTTATATATTGATATTTGTTTTTATTGTTATACCATGTTAATACACAATATTGAAATAAATCAGACCGCCTCCGTGGTCGAGGGGTTAGAGTCGATGACCTCTTATCCAGTTAACTCTCTGGCGGGGGTTCGATCCCCGGGAGATGCTTTGGTGGTTTAGCGCAGAGGAAGGTAGTCTAGTACTGGTGTAACTCTCCAGGAACGATGGTTAGGAAACTACCCGCCTATATAACTGAAATACTGTTAGGAAAAGGCGTAAAATGAAACAAACAAACAAACACAAACAAACAAAAGAAATAAATCTATCAATCTATCAAAGGAGTGTAAGATAAGTTATCTGCTTTCGTTTCGATATGAAACAACTTACACTAGAGCCAGCTTTAACGAATGTCCATCCGATCTGTGGCGGTGGATACCCAGTGGTGGTACAAACCAAAGCAAAGTACGGAGGTATAAACGTTTTAACAATATGTGCCGTCGGTTTCTCTAGTAATATATCAACAAATGATTGTCTTGTTATAGTTGAGAAATACTATGCTCATCATTGATTTTAATATTGTAATCACAGAAATGTATTGAAATATCCTAGAAATAATCAATTAAAGAAATAAATGAATAAACAAATCCGTTAACATTACACTTTACAAAATAATAAAAGATCGACTAAGTTCTTTATTATTTTTAAAATTATATTATGCACAATTTGATCATTGGTTAAAATATATTGATAAAGTAAGTTTACCTTTTGTTATGGCTATAAAATGTGTCTTTTCTATGGTTTGGCCATTAATTATTGCTTCGCAAGAATACACGCCAACCTTGGACTCATCAAGTTCGGCAATTACAAGTTTATCTTCTCCAGCAAGCGGACTTATTACTATTTCTTTTTCTATGCTGACACCGGATGGTAGAGACGTAGACTGAAGTTTATAGAAGGGAAAAAATTCAGAAAGCATTTAAATGTTATTTCATACCTACAAACAACTGTGTTAGTGCATAAAAAGTGTATTTTTAAAAATAAATTACATTACAATATACATTGCAATGTTTCTTTAACTATAAATAGATCTTTATAAGGTACATGGCAGGAAATGAATCAAACATGTCCTTGAGTGTTTAGATTTTCGTCACACCAACAGTAGATAAATGTTATATGGCGGCGTTTGAAAAAATATAACCCAAGTGATTTAATTATGACAAACGTCTGAGAGTAAACCCGAATCATCCTTAAGTATGCCGAATAACTTTATAACAGGAAACAATGAAAATTTGAGCCATGTCACGACAAAACCAACATAATGGGTTTGCGACCAGCATGGATCCAGACCAGCCTGCGCATCCGCGCAGTCTGATCAGGATCCATGCTGTTCGCTTTTAACAAGTAGAGAAACTGATAGCGAACAGCATGGATCCGGATCAGACTGCGCGAATGCGCAGGCTGGTCTGGATCCATGCTGGTCGGAAACGCACTATGTTGGTTTTGTCGTGACGCGGCTAAAATTTTAAACACAAAACACTAACATTGTTAGAAATTGCCAAGTTAAAGTCAAAGTTATTTTTTTTTATAAAATGATAGAACATTAATAACGTTACGTGATTATATTTCCATATGTAACGCTGAGCAGTGGGTAGACTTATACATTTCAGCTCTACCCGACTTTTATACGTGCTAGAATTAGGTCCGTCGAGGACAAGTTGTGCACCGGAAGTGTTTGGACCGGAAGTTGATGTACTATGAGACGCAGCAGTTGTTGAGGGTGTTACTGACGTCATTGTTGGTTTGTTGACTGTGGTTGCCTGGGAGGTACCTATATGTAAAGTTGTTGTTGTTTATAAAAATGTAGCAAAAGAAAATAAACCTGTTTAAAGGTAAATGTCTTCAATTGATTCAAAATATATTTTTCATTGTTGAGTCTTAGAATAAAAATCGAACTTATTCTTACAACATTTCGATACTTTTTTGTAGCGTTGTTATACATTTGATGATTTAATGTACATTAATGATTAAAAGAAACGCAAGGATGCTTTGACTCGTTTTTATAAAGAAAGGAATTATTTTTTAAATAATGTGAACAAATTTTATTTAAGCACAAACTCACCTAATATCTGAAGGCACATTATGCCTCGGAAAAACGTAATTATATTAAATCTTTAAAATGTTAAACATGTGTTTAATTATGTATTTAGAGCATGTTGTGACTTGTTAAACAACCGAATAAAGTGCGGTAATGTGTTTTAAAAGTAGCAAAAATGTAAAGAAAGTAGTATTTTGACTTCCATACAAATACTTATATATTAATACAATGTAAATATACCAATTGCTAAAAAGCAAACAAATAAACAACAGATAGCTTCTCTATATGGCAAATGAGTATTTTATTTAGAAACTGTGACAAAATACCAAACATAAATGAGCTGCGTCACAACAAAACCAAAATAATGGGTTTGCGACCAGCATGGATCAAGACCAGCCTGCGCACCCGCGCAGTCTGGTCAGGATCCATGCTGTTCGCTATCAGTTTCTCTACCTGTAATAGGGTTTGTAAGCGAACAGCAAACTACATCTTACCTGTCCAGTTATCTCACCAATATAACAATCTTACCTGTCCAGTTATCTCACCAATATAACAATCTTACCTGTCCAGTTATCACACCAATATAACAATCTTACCTGTCCAGTTATCACACCAATATAACAATCTTACCTGTCCAGTTATCTCACCAATATATCAATCTTACCTGTCCAGTTATCTCACCAATATAACAATCTTACCTGTCCAGTTATCACACCAATATAACAATCTTACCTGTCCAGTTATCACACCAATATAACAATCTTACCTGTCCAGTTATCTCACCAATATAACAATCTTACCTGTCCAGTTATCTCACCAATATAACAATCTTAACTGTCCAGTTATCTCACCAATATAACAATCTTACCTGTCCAGTTATCACACCAATATAACAATCTTACCTGTCCAGTTATCTCACCAATATAACAATCTTACCTGTCCAGTTATCTCACCAATATAACAATCTTACCTGTCCAGTTATCTCACCAATATAACAATCTTACCTGTCCAGTTATCTCACCAATATAACAATCTTACCTGTCCAGTTATCACAAGCGTTATAGTTACAATAGTCAGTACCATTACAACACGTGGCACAGTCTTGTCTACTTGCCCTTAATAACGCATCACATTGCTTCAATACAAAAAAGTACAATAATTAGCTCCTTACAAATTGATAAATCGATAAAAAAAAGTGGATGGATACGTGTATGTTAATAGCTTGAAGAAGTTGAGGATCATTAATGTTTGTAGATAAAATGAATAAATCATTTAATTTCAATTTAATTGATCAGAATTGAGCTGAACTGACTATATTTTTCATTGACAAGGTGAGCTGAATTGATTATTTCAAGAGATTGAACTTCCATTTTTATAAAATATGTTTTTGTTACTTGCTGCATAAGGGAAGACCATTTACTAATTTTGAAAAAAAACTTTTGGTCATACTATCATATTGTAACTGTTTAATCATGTTTTATGTTTCTTTTGTTTTTCAAATTAAATATGTTCAAATAAAATATGATTAGCTTTTAATGGTGATTGACCAACATTAAAAGTATAAAACGCTTACTTGGAACCCCATACACACACCGTATTACCGGCGGCAGTGATGGCAGATCACTGCAGTGATGGCAGATATCTGAAAATTACCGATCGATACAGGTAGGTTATAAATTTGGTTGGTTTAATTATATTACACAAATACGTCCCATTTCATTGCTATAAAACTATTGTCCATTGAATGGAGATACTGTAAGGTAATTTTGGACTCGTTTTTCCTGTTTTCAGACTATTTTGAGCAGGTTAAAAGTGAAAGCCTTAGAAAAATCCGTGAAAATGTCTGTTTTCTGTTCAAAATATCTCGAGTTTTAAGTAAATGGCAGGATTTCCTGTTATCAATATAGACGTTCATCCATTGGGGTCACGCAAGCCAAATATCTACCCCGTGAGTCTTTTCTTGAAAGTTTTACAGACGCCCAATCTTGTCCGGTCGAAGAAAAAATGCTGCCGTTGTAGGCAGATACATATTATAAATGCTGCCGTCGATGGCAGAAATACCATGAAAGTGGTTAACATTCTGACAGAAAATCAAGTTCAATCTTTTATCAATTCCTCTTTTCTTTGCGTCCTTTTAGTCAGAATTGAGACGTTAAACTATCATTTCAAATATTTTCTCAAGATAGAAAAGTTATTAACCCATTACCCCATGAGCATCTTGTGAAAAATGGCTGTTTTCATTGAAAGGTCTCCCGTTACAAGTTCAAGTTGCTATAAAACTATAAAAACTGCTTCAATACTAATCAAACTTGGCACAAATGTTGACTGGACCATTGCCTTTGTAACAACATGTTCAGTCTGAAATGTCCTGTTACCATAGCAACTAGGGGACATCTCAAAATTGCCAAAAATCACTATTTTGCGTTGATTTTTTCCATCAAAATTGATTTCAAAGTGCTGCCACTTCTCAATGGATTGAGATAGAGTCAAAGGCTTTTCAGCATTGGTTACACGTTACCTTATGATCGACCTGGGGCCATTTTTAGCCTCCCACAAGTCCAAAGTTTTCTTGGCGATGAGGGGGACTCAGCCCCCCTTCAAACCCCCCAAACAGAAGGGGGCACATCCCCCTTCTGGCAACCCCCTGATGTATCTTTTGGATGGGGGGGGGGGGGGCCGCGCCGAAAAAGTGGTCAATTTTTTAAAACAGCATTTATCAAACAAAAACAAGTGTTTGGGGGCCTAAATAAGGCATTTTTTCACCATTTGAGAAAGCAAAAAAAGGAGGGGGGGGGGTGAAAAAGGCGTAGAAAGTCGTATATATCTGGTAATGGGTTAACAGAAAATGATGAAAAAAAAAACAAAATTACCCAAAAACCGCGTTTTTTCCATGTTAAAAACATGGCCTCACATATAATTTTGAAGAAAAATTGCTGTTTTGTAGATTTTTTGATTTTTTTCATTAATGCGGTATGTGCATCGAAAAAAAGCTTATTAGCAACATGCAGTTACAATACAAAAAGTTATGATTTAGTACCACAAAATTTCACTATAAATAGAGAAATGAACATGAAAAACTTCATTTTTCTATATTCATGCATGTGTGCTTGATCTGTTGTGTCTGTCAGTTACATGCATACAATACTATATGTATCTTAAGATACATATAGTATTGTATGCATGTAACTGACAGACACAACAGATCAAGCACACATGCATGAATATAGAAAAATGAAGTTTTTCATGTTCATTTCTCTATTTATAGTGAAATTTTGTCGTACTAAATCATCACTTTTTGTATTGTAACTGCATGTTGCTAAAAAGCTTTTTTCGATGCACACACCGCATTAATAACTTTTCTATCTTGAGAAAATATTAGAAATGATAGTTTAACGTCTCAATTCCGACTAAAAGGACGCAAAGAAAAGAGGAATTGATAAAAGATTGAACTTGATTTTCTGTCAGAATGTTAGCCACTTTCGTGGTATTTCTGCCATCGACGGCAGCATTTATAATATGTATCTGCCTACAACGGCAGCATTTTTTCTTCGACCGGACAAGATTGAGCGTCTGTAAAACTTTCAAGAAAAGACTCACGGGGTAGATATTTGGCTTGCGTGACCCCAATGGATGAACGTCTATATTGATAACAGGAAATCCTGCCATTTACTTAAAACTTGAGATATTTTGAACAGAAACAGACATTTTCACGGATTTTTTCCAAGGCTTTCACTTTTAACCTGCTCAAAATAGTCTTAAAACAGGAAAAAACGAGTCCAAAATTACCTTACAGTATCTCCATTCAATGGACAATAGTTTTATAGCAATGATATGGGCCGTATTTGTGTAATATATAATTAAACCAACCAAATTTATAACCTACCTGTACCGATCGGTAATTTTCAGATATCTGCCATCACTGCAGTGATCTGCCATCACTGCCGCCGGTAATACGGTGTGATACAGTCCATTTCGTACCGAGGTGTCATTGAAACAGAGTTAACAGTTCTCTGTACGAAGCAAAACTGAAATGTATGAATTAATCTTTAATTACAATATCAGTGTAGCAATACCACGTGACCTAAACGTCATTATCGGCAACATTTCAAAGACAAATATTCCTCGATTCGAAAAGGAAAATAGCCGTAACATATGTCAATTTTCCTTCTTTTAGTTTAAGAAAGTTATGGCAAAAAGTTCAAAGAATGAAAACATATTTTGTAACAATAACGCTTTATCCGTACATGTATTCGCTAATATGCCATTAAAACATTAACAGACTAATGTATTCATATATAATCATCAATGTACATATTTCGTATTATCAGTTTTTTTAAATTAAAAAAAGTTATTATATGATATAAAAATATGCATTTGGCTGCAATTTCATTAGTCCAAACAGTAGTCGCCTCGGTCAATATGTCATCTGCCGGTGAATATCACATCATATTCAATGGCTAACTAGTCAATAACTGTTATTTCTAATATTTACTGTGACATTATAATGATGATTACAATCTTTTATTTTATTAAATCACAGTCATTAAAGCGTTACACAGAAACAAAGCTTGAGTTGCAAAATAAAAATGAAAGTGACTAACCTGATCTTGTCCACATGTCGTAAGTTTGTCACAATATTTTGTTTCAAGAACATCTCTACATATCATGCATTGTAAATTGTCTGATGGTTCTAATACAAATACAAATAGAATGGTTCTAGTACAAATACAAATAGAATGGTTCTAGCACAAATAAAAATAGAACGGTTCTAGTAAAAAAAAATAGAATGGTTCTAGTACAAATACAAATAGAATGGTTCTAGTACAAGTACAAATAGAATGGTTCTAGCACAAATACAAATAGAATGGTCCTTAAATATATACAAATAGAATGGTTCTAGAACAAATACCAATAGAATGGTTCTAGCACAAATAAAAATAGAATGGTTCTAGTACAAATACAAATAGAATGGTTCTAGTAAAAAAAATAGAATGGTTCTAGTACAAATACAAATAGAATGGTTCAAGTACAAATACAAATAGAATGGTTCTAGCACAAATACAAATAGAATGGTTCTAGTACAAATACAAATAGAATGGTTCTTGTACAAATACAAATAGAATGGTTCTAGTACAAATACATATAGAATGGTTCTAGTACAAATACAAATAGAACGGTTCTAGTACAAATACAAATAGAATGATTCTAGAACAAATACAAATAGAATGGTTCTAGTACAAATACAAATAGAATGGTTCTAGCACAAATACAAATAAAATGGTTCTTAAATAAATACAAATAGAATGGTCCTAGCACAAATAAAAATAGAATGGTTCTAGTACAAATACAAATAGAACGGTTCTAGAACAAATACAAATAGAACGGTTCTAGCACAAATACAAATAGAATGGTCCTTAAATAAATACAAATAGAATGGTTCTAGTACAAATACAAATAGAACGGTTCTAGAACAAATACAAATAGAACGGTTCTAGCACAAATACAAATAGAATGGTAGTTAAATAAATACAAATAGAATGGTCCTAGCACAAATACAAATAGAATGGTTCTAGTACAAATACAAATAGAATGGTCCTTAAATAAATACAAATAGAATGGTTCTAGTACAAATACAAATAGAACGGTTCTAGAACAAATACAAATAGAACAGTTCTAGCACAAATACAAATAGAATGGTCCTTAAATAAATACAAATAGAATGGTTTCAGCACAAATACAAATAGACCGATTCTAAGACTAAAACAAATAGAACGGTTCCTAAACAAATATAAACAGAATGGTTCTAGCACAAATACAAATAGAATGGTTCTAGCACAAATACAAATAGAATGGTTCTAGAACAAATGCAAATAGAATATAGTTCTAGCATAAAAACAAATAGAGTGGTTCTAGCACAAATACAAACAGACTGGGTCTTAAATAAATATAAATAGAATGGTTTAAAAATAAAAACAAATGAAATAAACAGTTTAATTATGTCATAATAGCGTGCGCCATATCTTTGATATTGACATGCATTTAAACACCCTTAATTTTTTTCTATTTGTAACAAGAACAACTAAAATCCTTATCTTATTTCCGACAGTTAAATGCACAAAAAATACTCTCCATTATTTTTTTGAATACGTTTTCAATAAATGACGATGGTCAATTTACATTATTTTACATACATAATAAAAAAAGCATTTACTTGAACCACATAAGTTCTTATTACATCCGTTTAAATTGTTACAGCATTGCATACATGATGGATCACTACGCTTTTGGTCGGAACTACTTTCTGCGTCAAAGGATGTCAAATCGTATTCACTTCCGGTTTCTCTTTTTCCAGGCGGATTTTGACCGCATGCCTATATTAAGTTAAAGGTAAGATAATTCTTAAAATATATGCTACATTACACGATATTTTATGTTATTAATATATGTGTTAATCCTAGTTAAACATTTATTTTCTGAAAGCGGTTTTAAAGACACGCTAAAAGGATGCCCAAAACATTATATTCAACTCAAAATTTCATTAACAGCATTTAAATACGTTTAACAATGTTCTGTCAGAAAGAGTTCTTTATATACTTGATTGTATTGCAACAACAAAATGACAATTAATCATGTTATTTCCTCAGCCGTATTAATAAAAGTCACAGAATTATTTTTAAATGGAAAGGAATCTATGACGTCATACAATTAAAATCTGTATCAAAGATATTATCACGCAAGTTCACATTTTTGCAAGATTTTCCGAGACCACGTTTGACACAAGAATTTTTCCGATACATGTATATGATAATCATGTACGCAGACCTGCTATCTATAATTCATTGTGCTAACCAAATAAGTTGCAAAATTGAGTAAAAAAAAAAAGAATAATATATATCAAGAAGATGTACATGTAAATTACTTTCTGTAATAGATAAAGATGTAAACAAATTAGGTTATGTTAAAGAAGATGGCGGATATTTAACAACGCCATGGGCCAATGAATCTCGCGCAACGGATTCAGTGTTAGATTTGAAAAAAAATCTATTTTTAGCGCTTCCTAACCCTCTATAATAAAAGTCTCAAAATGACTATAGTAATATTTATTATTTATAGATATTTAACATAGCTATGGGCCGATGACAAAGCATTGTGGGTCAGAATGTGAAATGTTCTATTTTTAGAGCTTTTTAAAAGTCTCTGTAAAACTCACGACAGCGTCGATACAGCCTAAATTATATACAGGTTTACCAGTACTGCCAAGAAATCGGTTTGAATAACAAGTCTGAAATATAAAAAAATAATAATAAAACAAAATTGAAAGTTAGTTGATCGTAAGGCAGCAAAAATATACACGATAATAAGTGATGAAACTTTATGTCAATACGATATAATATAGATTATGATATAAGGAAAAGGGAAGGAACGTTGCAATAATTACATACTTAACGCCGACCAGAAGCAACAATCATTGCATTTTTGATTATTTTAATCCTTCAAAGTACATGTATCTTTATTTTTTTATTATTTTGTTTGGGGTGTAATATTGACTTACTTTGGCTAAAATATACATGATGACTTATTAGCGATCAAACCATTATTTTCGGTGTCCAAGAACTTCCGTCTCTATTTACATACGATATATAGCCATTTCATTTAGTTTGAATATATTTTATTGCATCAAATACTATCAATTTTTAAAATGATAAGCATATAATTAAAAGCAAATGGGTTGGGCAATAAGTTCTAGCAACTTTATATTAAGCCTGTCACAGTCTTTTTATCTCACAGAAACAGAAAATAAAAATCTTTGCACTTTGTACGAAAAGGCTTTGCAATATAAACGTCTTGGAGCATGTTGAAAATGAATGAATATATTTCTATGCGATATCACCTACCTGATTTGACAAACACTTTTTCAACGTAAGACAATCTTCCACGTTATTCACTTCCGTACAACTAAGACACAGTAGGGTCGATATTGCAGAAACATTTAACAACAGTAGTAGAACACGCGCTACTAACACTGCAAATAAAGAAAAACAAAAACAAAGGACAACATTAGTACCACTTACGCGCCTACAAACACGTTTGTAAATAAAATATAAAACAAGAAAACAACGGTACTTTTCATGCAATTACTTTTTTGAAGGCTATCTAAGAGAAATATAAAATTCGTCTACACAGTAAAACCATTTACATGTAACAACAAAAGTAGTGCAAACGCTTCTTACACTGTAATTAAACAAAAAACATTTGACAAGAAAAGTAGTGCCAGCATTCTTACACAGTGATAAAACAAAAACATTTAACAACAAAAGTAGTGCAAGCACATCTTACATAGTAATAAAATAAAAACATTTAACAACAAAAATATAAAATAATAAGCTACTGCTGTCCTACTGCTACTGCTGAGCTACTGCTACTGCCAACTTCACGTTTTATAATTTTGCTACTGCTACTGCTGAGCTACTGCTACTGCCAACTTCACGTTTTATAATTTTGCTACTGCTACTGCTGTCCTACTGCTACTGCCAATTTCACGTTTTATAATTTTGCTACTGCTACTGCTGTCCTACTGCTACTGCCAACCTCACGTTTTATAAATTTGCTACTGCTACTGCTGTCCTACTGCTACTGCCAACTTCACGTTTTATAAATTTGCTACTGCTACTGCTGAGCTACTGCTACTGCCAACTTCACGTTTTATAATTTTGCTACTGCTTCTGCTGAGCTACTGCTACTGCCAATTTCACGTTTTATAATTTTGCTACTGCTACTGCTGTCCTACTGCTACTGCCAAACTTCACATTTTATAAATTTGCTACTGCTACTGCTGAGCTACTGCTACTGCCAACTTCACGTTTTATAATTTTGCTACTGCTACTGCTGAGCTACTGCTACTGCCAACTTCACGTTTTATAATTTTGCTACTGCTACTGCTGAGCTACTGCTACTGCCAACTTCACGTTTTATAATTTTGCTACTGCTACTGCTGAGCTACTGCTACTGCCAACTTCACGTTTTATAATTTTGCTACTGCTACTGCTGAGCTACTGCTACTGCCAATTTCACGTTTTATAATTTTGCTACTGCTACTGCTGTCCTACTGCTACTGCCAACTTCACGTTTTATAAATTTGCTACTGCTACTGCTACTGCTCACTGCTACTGCTAACTTCCTACCGGTTACTACTTTAACCATAATGTTATGTATCGAAGAATTAGAAATAATGTATTTTGTGCTAGAAATGTACAATTTTAATGTTTTAGCAATTTTCTTTTACTTGCAAATACCCTGTAGGTAGCCTCTTGAATGATAAGATGTCAGCAGCATTTTGGAATATGGCCAATTATAAACATGAACATACTTATATACACAAATTATACCAGTAACGCAAAATGGTTGACTTACAAGCATACAGTAATAATTCAACAATATCAATTTAGTAATAGTTCTGGGTTTAAACAGATTTCTTTGTTTTACTTTTAATGGGCTGCTTTTCAGTCTTTTTTGTTTAATTTTCTGCGAAAATATTATTCCTAAATTTTCTTTAAATGAGCTGCCTCCTTTTCTAAATCTTCCAACTCTGCTCTCATTTGGATCACATTCTCGTCTTCACTTACAATTTCTCTATCAAGGAGGAAACGGACAAAGATGTTTTGTCAACTTTAGCCGTTTTCTGTTTTATGGCGATATTTGTATGATTAGTTCTGAATCTGCGTCCCCTTCATGCATCTTGAAATAGTCAGGCCTGTCTCTCGACATTTTGAAATATAAACAAGCTGCATATAACTTCTTCGCATAAAAAAGCAAAGGACAAGTCTAGGGCTGAACAAAGTTCGATTCATATAATGGACAATACCTCAAAATACAACACTGTTCTTCTGCATGAAAAATGTGTTACCGTCCTAGCCCAAAGGCTATGATAGCTTAAATGATACTGTTTTCTCCTCTACATTTTACAAAAAGTCAACTTTCTATATCTAAGTGACCCTTCTTCTGATTCAATAGCCTCAAAATAGTCAGTAAAATCACTCTCACTTTCTGACGTATTTTAAATGTTTGGAAATGGTATGGGTTTATGTTTTTTTATTGGAAATAGTTTACCTTGTGTAAAACTTTCCATCGTCAATGTCTTGTGTAAAACTATCATATACTTGTGTAAAACCGCCCGTGTCTTGTGCAAAACTGTCCTTGTACTTATCACTTTGCACGTCATTCTATAAAGCTTATTTCATCTGAACGTTTTCATGGAAATGTTTACTGTTGGTCAATGTCACAATATTTTAGCAGCCAAAAAGCTGCAGATAAACGTAATTATCACTTTGTCACTATTATGATCCTAATCTAATTCATGCCGTATTTATCTCTTTTATTATGATTGATGGTATGTTCCCCGTGAATTTATTATTTTGTTGTGTTATATTAATACTGTATTAACAGCTTGGTCAGTGATACAGAGAAACTGGCAGTGCATAAGATAGATTTTATGAGAAAATGTCTCAACTTTCCGCTATGTCGATACATTTATATATATATATATTTGTATAAAAGGTGTCATTAATTCTGATACTGTCATTTACTAAGGGAATATTGCACGAGTCTGCTATGGGTTGTATCGCTCTATCACATGTTGACAGTACTAAACCGTAATCCCACGAGCCAGCATATTTATAGTGTTTTAATAGACATTTCGTTATACGGAACAATAACGAAGGCAAGGCCGGCGTGCCGTATCACTGCAAGATTTACAAGTCTTGAGCAATGAAGGGTATAGAATACAAAACAAGAGCTTTGCAGAGTCAGGGCAATGTATGCCCAATTGCAAATTCTAAAGAGTCACACAAAAATATGACATTGATATAGATAGAAAATGTGTGTTTTTTGTTTGGCCTAAATGATGACATTTCCATCCAGGTATAACAAACCGTTTTCCGATATGTCAAATTCCAAATCTAAATGCAAGTAATTGTTCTGCAGAGTGCTCTCCTCCTTATTGTTTTGTACGGAGTATTTTCATTGGTCTTAGGTTTTCACACAACCAATGAAAATACTCCATACGAATACATCCGTTTCTACATGTGTACTTTCATTTTGGATGGAGAATTTAACAAATCATTAAAACGGTTCTTTATAGTTTCATATAATGTTTTCATTGAACAGTTATTACAAATAATAATATAATTTGATCATATTTATATGCGCAATACAAAAAAAAAATTCATTCATTTCGAATAAACTGCCGTTTAGTTGGGTAATTTTGACAAAAACCCAGCGGTCAGGTCACTGTCGAGTTACACTTGCGGTGGCTTCGAGATTACATATCTTCGTGAAATTCGCACGTCGTGAAAGTTGAGTTTAAACAGTCTGTATAAAAATTATGGACTGGGTAGCGGTCTGTATGCGATTTCTGGACTGGATGACGTCATATTAAGTATAGAAGGGCGTATACAAATGAGGTATAATATTTCAGGTTGAAATTGATTTAATCACTCAAATAATACTAGAAAACTTTCTTTTATTTTATTTTTTACATTGCACCTGCTATTTCTATAATAACTTTTAATATCAATATACACATATTTACATTCAAAATCAATTATTATATCTTGATCAAGTTTACATATTATTTTAGAATATGGGAATTTGATCCTAATGCAATACATTTTAAGAGAATATCACTTCATTTATTATATTGCTCTCGTTGTAATTTGGGGATGTATGAAAATAAAATAACCTACACTAGTCATGTTATAATCAATATATACGGGTGAAAACTGACATAAACCTAAAGAACTATATCCAACAATAAAATTAACATGTCTTAAATATACTGATCATAATGGAGCTAATAGTTAAGAAATATCACACAATACTGAGACACAGAAAGCCCCAAAACCTTATAGCGGACCGCACTTAACTAGAACAAAATGGTAAAAGTTTGACAGGGAAAGAAGAAATATAGTTTCGAAGTATTTCATGCCTATTGCGAATTCTCGCATCTTATTTACTACAATAACATCAATATATCAGAAACTAGACAATTCTTGTATTTGCAAAACCTTTAAATAATACAATCTATATTTAATTGCTAATCACTACTTGAATATTTTTTATTAACTGACATTGAATTTCCAACGAGGGTTATCAATAATAACTTGTGTGGCGGCTTGGCCGAGTGGTTAACATGCCGGACAAGTAATCTAAGGATTGCTGCCCGCGTGTGTTCAAACCCAGTCAGGGGCAAGCCGTTTTTCCTTGAGCAATAAACTTTTCACTTATTGCAGGTTTTCCATCTCGTCATTCACAACTACTATCTCGTCATTCACAACTATTGGCATGCAATACTTTTGAAAATATTTTTAAATCGAAAATGAAAATTTTGGATTGTAAACATTTTTATAATGTTGCCAAGTTCTTAATGAAATAAAATGTGTATTATTATAACTGGTGTTCCATATACTCCTATTTGAACTAAAAAAAGCGTTAAAAATCGTTTTCACAAGCTTTTCTTGTAACAAATCATACTAATGCGGTCAGTAACAGAACATAACAGAACAGAATATATCGTTTATTAGATTTTAGATTTAAACATAGTTTATCATCTATACATGCATTACATTGAATATAAAGATCATGTCAAATAAATAATTGAATTAATATGAATATAAATATCATTCACGTAAATGAAAAGGTATGTGTTGATAAACAAATTAACACCTTAAATAATCGGCAATAGAATATATGGTTTAGAGTTTATGATAAGTCATTTTGTCGTAGCATATTTTCTCGAATTTTAAGAGCACATTTGATACACATCACCAAATTTGTCATTGTCTTATGATTCACAGATCTTAGCAGTTCAATTAGCTTAAACATACTTGGTCTAAGTGTGTACTATTCATTTATATACCATTTTCTAATGACTCTGTATCTCGCACATTTTAAGCATAAAGTGATATTCGTCCTCAATCTCGCCATTTTTTACATATTTGAAACAGTCTGTATTCCCTGTCTATTTTATTATTTCCATAACGCTCGTTCTACCAGTACACTAAACTTTCAGTGCTTTGATTCATACATGCTGTAGGACGATTCTATACACAATTGTCACGCTCTTTGATTCAATGACTGACATTAATAAAAGCCAATGGGAATTAATGGTGGTAATATGAGATGTCGTGGTAAAAAGTAATTATTGACAAACAAAAGATCCTGTTTGAGAACGAAGATCAGTTCTGTTTCTGTACAAACCAAAATATTGGAGAAGTGAGTTACTCTACTATTAGAGTGTTTTTTTAGCATTAATTCTAGGGATGAAAATTACAAGATTCCTAAACATATAAATTTTCCTACTATCCTACAAATAAAAGAAAGAACTTTAATCTTATCTAATATTATTATGTATATTCTTAAATGTGTTTTATAGTGTAT